AAAAATTTATTATTAATTGGAAGGTAATACACATATCATAACATTCCAAAGTTCAATCACATTGAGCAGTATTATACAATTGCTACCTGATTTTTTCCCTCTGTTTTTGTTCTGTTCAGTATCAATTCATACTATGGCATGGGTGTTTTTAATCTCATCTTTGAGTATTTCTTTATAAAATGTTTTCTTTTATTTTCATTTATTTATTTCCCAAATGCCACATTTTATTATTCACTATGTTATGTATGTATTTAATGTATTTTGAAGCTTAGGAAGAAAATCATCTCTTTATAACTTATCATACAAAGTGATTTTTTAAAAGTTTGTATTTAGAAATGTTTCCCATGTTTTAAATATTATATTTAAAATAACATTTCTCAGATATCTCTGAGAGCTGGAATAAAGTTATCATCTTCAAACAATCATTAGGATATTTTTCTACAAGCCACAACCCAGTAGAGACTGCTCTATAATTCATGAATTAAATTGTACTGGAAATTGCTGCTTCAAATTTGGCTGTATATCAGTGTGGATGCCAAAGGTATTTTCTTATTCTCACAGGCAGTTTTCCTGTTCTTCTGCTTCATGGAGCAAAGAGAATACATGTGTGCAAGGGGCTGCTTCTGTGGAGGTCCAGTCATTTTAAGAAAAATCCTTTGGGGGATCCAAATTGAGCTTGTGGAAGACCGCTTTGGGCTATTCAATCCAAATATAATCTGGATTATGATTTCTAAATTTTTTATTCTACAAAGCCATTGAACTGGGTTTTTCTCTTGTTTGTGTGTAGCTTTTTTTTTTTTTACTAATAGCTAGGCCCTAAGCATGAAAGTAGTTTCCTTGACATAATTCTTAGGGGTCTGACTTCCTCTTAATTTTTATCTGGGGATTTCTTCCTTTATTACAGACATTCTAGAAACTTCTCTCAAAAATATTTAGGGGGGAAAAATCCTTCAACAGTAAGGTTTGGTACAAATATTTTTAGCCTGCACATCACATCCCAGGGAACCATGTCCATCATATTCCTGAACATATGTGCTTCAAAAACAATAGCTTCATGTTAAAATTACCTGGAAGACGAGTTCATGAAGTCAGTGTATAGATCAACTCTTAGTCAGAATGAACAGCAAGCAGTCTTGGCTTGGTAACCTGTCTTTGGAAAAATAAGATAACTAATGAAATATTGTGTTAGTCTGGGTAGACTAGAGAAACAAATCCAGGGAGACTCATTTGTGTATAATAAAGAGCTTTATGTACAAGAGCAATTGAATATTGAGAAAACATCCCAGCCCAGTCCAGATCAAGTCCATATTTCTGATATTAGCTCATATGTCTGATACTAATCTATAAATTCCTCTTCAGAGTCAGGGAACACATGCAATGACGCCGAATGCAGGAAGACCACAGGCCAGTGTGTGGAAAGTCTCTAGATCCAGTGGAAGTGGAAGCATCTCAGCTCTGGCAGGGGTCTCCACGTGGCTCCTTCAGCTTCGGGGCTCTAGTTGCATCAGCTGAGCTCCATTAGGCTCGTTGTCAGTAATGTTTCACAGGGAGTGAATGTTCACATGAGACATGATTATCTTTACTTGCTTAGCCCATTCAGAGAGGTCTATCCACAGACCTCTTCCTGAAACCTCCTTGTCACCAGTTTTCCAATCATGTTCCTACAAAATCCCTGACCATCAGCCAAGTCATTAGCCACAGCCCAGGAATCAGTACACACTCTCACATTTGACCATTTCTTCTTCCTGTCAAACTGATTGGATGAGCATGTGGCTGCTTTAGCTAGTTCTCTGCCTCAACTTGTGAACTACACTACTTGTGGAACTGCCAAACTATGGATTGTGTTGCTAAAGCTTGTGGTTGCTTCGAGACCTATTTTGCCATAATACTTGTGTGTACATTGCTTGAGCATAAGGCTGGTGGATTCTGTCAAAGTATCTTCCTTCTCCCAGTCTGCAACTATGGCCTCCTGGGGAGTTCTTTATGATAAGTTAGATGAAGAATAGAAAATTCATGCTTGGTTTACTAATGGCTATGCACAATACGTGGGGGCCACTCGTAAGTGGACAGCAACAGCCAGAATGTGAAGCCAGTTTTAAAGCTTCTTTCAGCTCACATACTTTTTACATTTCAAAACATAAAATAATCTATCATGACTTCCCAAAATTCAGTTCTTAGATGACAATAGTTTCAGGCTCAACAAGCAGGATTGTATCATCTCGTTCAAGTTGAAGTTCAGTTGGGACATCTCAAGTTTGGTTGCTCAGCACTTTTTTTTTATCATAACCAACATAAAATGAAAGAAAT